ATGTGGCTGTGACGTCACGACCCTATCGACCATTCAGGAAGTTCCCGTCACGCCACCGACATCCGACGGGTTTTCTGTGACACGAGCTCCTAAACGTGCTCGCGTTACAATATTCTCTTCCTTCCTAAAAACAACAAAAAAAAAACGTGAAAGCTTGAAGACTTTCGCGCGTCGTTGCGTTGCGAAAGTTAGGTGCGTTTCTCTCTCTTCGTTTCTCCATGCGGCCGACGTCTTCAGGGCCCGCCGATGGCTTCGATGCCAGTGCTGGCGCTGAAGGGCAAGCCACGTCAACAAGCGAGTTTGAGCGGGACGTCGTAAACAGTGGAAGCTGTGTCCTCGGTGAGCCAATTGGAGCGTGAGAGTAAGGCACGTGAGGACTCAACTCCAATGTGGACATCTGTGCAGCGCCGTCACGTGCCTCGCTCCAGTGACCTTATTGGCCCTTCGGGCCCTTCTGTTTAGCCATTTGCCAACTTCTACCGAGTTGGAGGCTCCTTTGGTGGCTGTTTCTCGCCGACTGTACAGTACACCAAACTTCCTCTGACAAGAAGTCTGGACTGTTTCAAGCACATGCCGCTGCTGAAAAGGTGTTATTAAAATTTAAAACAGGGCTTCCTAGCAGTGCGGCGGTGGAGCGCGTTTTTAGCATAGGAGGAACAATTGCTACCAAACTGTGACCGAAGATGTCGGACGAACATTTCGAAGTCCTGATTCTGAGGTCAAATCGAGCACTCAAGTGAAAAAGACAAAGTCTTTGAATGCTCTGGTGAGCGTTTTGCCTTATTTCTCCCATTGACACCAATAAAGCACATTTATCAAACTTGTTTTTGTGTACATCCCAGTATACAAAGGGTTTAATTCCAATAATAATGTGACAAATTTGAGAAAAATACTTGACGTGAAAATAAAAAGTACCTTTGAAGTAACTGTACCTGTACCTAGGTACATTTTTAAGCAAGTAGCTAGATACGCACCTAGGTACATTTTCGTATGAGTAACTGTATCTTAGGTACATTTTTGAAGTAACTTTTACAACCCTGGGACTGGCGCTGTGATCGACTTCCGGAGTACCGATAAAACGGATGCGCAAGGCGTCGTCTGCTTTTGCCGTCTGGCTGTGTCGCCATGGATTTTTTGTCGGGTAGCGCTTGGATATTTGCGTTATTTTTATATTACTTTCTTTGACAAAAATATTTTCCATGTATGTTTCTTTACATTACAAAGTGCGTGCAGCATCCAATGAAACATGTCTGCATTTTATATCGTCTGATTTCGTGCTGCGATCGCTTTTATAGACATTTCATCGACCACGTACCTGGATACCTTCGCGAGATCAAAATGACGATGTCCCGTCAGAATTTACTGGCGGCTGCAGTAGCGCTCATCGAAGACGAGAGCGACGATGAGCTCAACGACATCATCGCCCTCGCCTCGATTGTTTCGGCACGGACTGACAGGAACAGGGTTCCCCTGTACTACGAAAAGGTTATCGACACCTACTTCGATTTCGAATTTATGCGCTTGTTCAGGCTTTCGAGAGAGAGACACACGCGGAGCTGGCTTGTCGATATGAAGCTTTGGCGTTTTACCCGGAATCCGTTGGTGGACGACCGCAGATTTCGGCGGAGAAGACAGTGCTGATTGTGCTTAGTTACTTAGGCACGAGAGCCACAATGTACCAGATTGCGGATCGCTTTGACATAACGGAGTCGTCCGTTCACCTCTGCATTGAAAGAGTGCTGAACCTTCTGAACGGTATCAGCGCACAAATAATCACCTGGCCTGACCAGGAAAGACGTCGGAGGAGCCCAAGCCGGCTTCCTGAGGAAGACTAAGGGGAAAGGGCCCCACAAAACGATCGGGGCGATTGGTGGATGCCATGTAGAAATCCTGCGACCAACGGAGTCTCCGAACTCCTACTACAATCGGAGCAAGTTTCATTCGATTGTTCTGAAGGGAATCTGCGATGATCAAAATCGATTCAACGACGTCTACATCGGGTTCCCCGGTTCAGCGCACGACGCCCGCATCCTGAAGGAGAGCCCCGTCTTCGAGGACGCGGAAGCCAAGTGTGCGGGTGGGTACCTGCTGGGGGATTTGGCTTATCCCCTGCTGCCATACGCCATGACCCCCTTCAACTCTTCAAAAGCGGCCCTGCCGTCCTGGGAGACTACGTATAACACGAAGCATGGTCAACCGAGAGTGACAAAAATACTTTCGAGCTGCTCAAGCAGCGATTTCAGAGAATGTACTTGGTCGACAGCGCCAGTATCAGACAGTGCTGCCTCGTCGTTATGGGCGCCTGCGTTCTCCACAACCTCTGTAATGCAGAGAGAGACTTTTTCGATGACCTGAACAACGCCCGCCCGCCTGGCCAAGTCACCAACGACGACGACCACGCGATCCAACCGGACGACGCCACAAGGAGTCTCTCCGAGCGGATCCGAGAGGCCATTGCTAAGACCGAATGTTAGGAAGCGATATCTACACCTGATCCTCCAAAAACATTCTTCTTTTTTTTTTTGTGTGTGTGTGTGTGTGTGTGTGTGTGTGTGTGTGTGTGTGTGTGTGTGCGTGCGTGCGTGTGCGTGTGCGTGTGCGTGTGCGTGTCTGTGTGTGAACACGCAAAGATGGTGTTTGAGCTTTGGAAAACGAAACGTACTGACTTCATGAAAACACGATCAAACAAAGTAACGGGTTACTTCGTTCTTTCATTTCTTTTTACAGTATTATTTTGATCCAATATCCTACTACATTCGTATCGCAGAATACATATATGCGGGCATGCACAGGTAGTCAGTGCCAGTGACCCCTAAAACGTAACATTGTTCCCAAAGCTATTTTTAACCTAACAATCAACAAAACCTAAAAAAAAAAAAACTAGATATGGCGGTAAAAAAAAAAAAATACATGCTGCAAAACTCGGAAATAACTGTAAAAACTAAGAATGAATCGGGGGACTACAGAGGAGTGGCAAACAAAATCAGCGAGACAATTTCAACGAATTTATTCGAACGGCACATTTGTGCACCAGTCAAAATAATAACAATAAAAAATAAAACGGCCTGCGAAACAGTGAAACTGTAATCAAGTTCATTGAAGTGCATGAAGCACGTCTACTGTGCCGGCGCGCTCTTTTCGATGGCGCTCACGAGGCGCTCGAGAAGAGCCATCCGGTCCTTGTGTCGTTTCTTGCGACCCTCCTCCATGTCGGCGAACACCTTGAGCAGCGAGCCCAGAGCGGTTTCTCTTTTTCTCTTGCTCGGTGTGCCGGCCGGAGCACGCTGGTTGGAGGGCGGAGCCAGCCCTAAGGCAAGGGAGGAGGGTCCTGCCTCTGTCCCTCGGGAGATTTCAACCTCGGCGCTAAACATTTTTTTTTTTTTTTTTATGTTACGTTTGTTATACGCGCAGGATGCGGTCAAGCTTCAGCAGCAAGGCAACGACATTCCCTTCCAATGGCTTCCCAGCCACCGGGGATTGAGGTCGTAAATTTTCTGGCTGTGCGGTCACACAAGGACCCCTAGTGCCCGCTCTCAACCATTCCCCGCTTCTCACACGCCAAGTTCCTTGTGAGAAGAGCCATCGCCCTGCAGCACCCGGACCCGGTAGTGGTGGCGGGTGCCTACCCAACTCGGATACCGCGCGGCTTCGACCGCCAAACTGCCGCAGTATTGCACAGATTGCGAACCAGAAGCGCCTTCACCCCGGCGTGGATAAGTCGCTTCAGACTCAATGTTGACCCTATATGCCAGACCTGCAAGAAAACTGCCGACGCCGAACATCTCCTCCTGCACTGCACTGATCACGAAGAGGAGTGCACAAACTTCCGTGATGCCTTTTCCCACCTAGGGCTACCTAGTACCAACTTGGAGGAACTCCTGCGTCCATGAGCGTCACGAGCTACTACAGACAAGGCACTCAAGAGTATAGCCAGCTTCCTGGGGAGCGCGGAACTCCTCGAAATCCTCTAAGACTTCCAAGAGATCTGGGTTGCTTGCGGCTCCTGGGGCTCCTAGATCTTGCATCCAGAGGGTTTCAGGAGTTCTAGGAGTCGTGATTCTGTACCGAAAGCCGTAAGAAAGTTCACACTCTGAAAAGATCTCCTTCCTCCTGCCCCTCTCTACTCCTCTATCTCTTTTTTCCCTATATCCCTTTCCCATCAACAGTGACATGTGCGCCCAAGGCGCAACTAACAACAACGTCGATTTTCTATGAAACATCGCTTCAACAACAAGAACCTAGACCTTCCGGTTAGAAGGTGAGTCTTATCTCTTCGTCGTCCCTTTGTTATTTGCGAAGTGTGCGGTGGTGGCGGACGCTCTCGTCGCAATGACACAGACCAGCAAAGACCGATGTTACCAAGCGAACTGCGCGTTCGCGCGCATTCCGGGAAGCACAAAATTTGTTTCGTTGAATATGTAAAGTTGCTTTAAAAATATACATGTCAGCTAGTAAAAGATCGAGGTACACCAAAGCACGTCTTATGAGTTGCGAACACGAAAGCATGCAAGCCGCTCGTCCGCTCCCTTTTTCGTCTGCTGCGTACTTTTCGTCGCCGGTCAGCACGTGTGCTCCCCTAAGCACGGTGACCTTGGACGTTCCGTGCCCAGGAGAGCGAAGGCGCGCTGATGGACACGCAGCGCCATGGGGTGAGCGGTTGTGGAAACTGACGAGCGCAGCGGTCATTGGGAACCCCGTCGACGCGCGCCAGCCAATGGAACCAAAGAAAACTATCTGCCGTTTTCGCGCATCAGACTGATGACGTCATCTCGCTCGATGAGACCCAGTTAATGATTTCGCATTAAAAAAAAGACAAAGAGTTTGGAAAGTTTAGGTTAGGCAAAAGGACTCCAACAGACCAAATGAGTTCATGGCACTGAGGCATGATGACGAAATTAATCGGAAATCATGGTAAGGTTCCCTCCTCCTTTTGTATGACTCTTCTCTAGTCTGAAATGATGGAATCCTCAAAAAGGAACCGTTGTTATCAGAGGTGGGGACATCTGACGTAAATGTATAATTTGATATGGTGCAACGTTAAATTGCAGAAGGTGCATGCACACTGTCGTCAATTTTTACTAAGAGCGTTTATTCACAAACAATATAAGAAAGCCCCTGGCACTGGGAAATCGAAAATGCGGCAGTATTAAGACGTCCACAGTATGTCACGCAACAAGCTTCCTTTTCCAATCAGTTCCTTTTATCCTGGCAATCTTCGACGTGAGAGACTCCTCTCATAAAAAAATAATAATTACACACCAGATGCAACATCTTATTTTACTCATTTATTTTCCCAAATAATGACTGCGTTTTAGGGAAATCGACAGTTCAGTGATACTACCGTCACGCAGATCATAAAAAGACGTGTTCGTTGCCGCTATCGCAAAATATAAGCAATGGAAAATACTGCCTATAGTACTACGATTGCCGTTCCACAATACAAAGGAATAAATCTTTGGCTGTAATTTGAATGTATAATTGCCTGTGGGACACACATTTCATGGTGCTGAAAAGTGCAAGTGTAGACCTCGTCCTGGGTATAAACGCAGAATAGAGGAATTGTTTTGGTGTAACGTTTGCGTAAATTTGCGCCAAAATCGTTCTTTCTTCGACGTTGGCGGCTAGCTATTATGCCGGTGATCGTGAACTGACTTTACGGCATAGTTATATCGGACCGTGCTCCAAAATTGACTCGATTTTACTCCAGGGTAAGGATTTCGTACCTTGCTGTTCAAAAACTTACCCGCGTCCGTTGCTGTATTTGCGTTGACACGCGACACAACCCACCGGAGTAACTCTGATCTATTTGGGTAAGGTTCGGAACACGGCCTTAATCTGCTTAGTGAGATTCATTGTTCCGAAGATGCTCGACGTGTTCCCGAGTTAGCATTTTCTTTACATCGCCGCAGGCCGAAGAGCAAATTATGCATGGTGAAAGAGAGGCGTGCTAGTACAACACTTAACCTTAGAAGGCTGATTCACAGGCTTTCGTGTGAATGTGCCGAGCGGTTCATGATCGTTTCTAACCGCTTAACACACTGGTGTAATCTATTGAGTAGCTCTGGAACACTTCAGCGCATATATTTGTAAAATGTTTACGCATACTTATTCCACTGTGAGCTTGAACAAATTCTGAGAGTGTTATACGCGACTATTTATCATAAACACTGCGTAAATCTGATCTCGAAAATACTGCGAAACCTTTGAAGTGTTCCAGGTCTAGCCGATAGATGGCCTATGGCGCCAGAGTGCTATGTGTTAAGAGGGTGCAAAAAAGATCACAACACACTTGGCACTGTCAAACTCAAATGCGTGAATCAGCCTTAAAAAATAGTGTAGCAAATGCACCTTGTTAGCAACATGTAGTTATGTATTGCAAAACAAGTTGAGCGGTCGATAACAATTGCTTTTCATCTCACAGTTACAGAACTACTTAGTGGTTATCGCTGTGTGTTCCCGCAAGGCAAACTCATATCAGTGCCCGCTTGTACACTTTAGCAAAGCGTGCATTCAAAGCGATGCTCACCCGCTAAGCGTAAGCACATCACTGAAGTATATTAAATCGCTCTGGAGTATATCACACAACAGGAGCAGAGCCTAAAGCACACTTGTGTATCAAGCCGGTTCGCCTATGAAACGTTAGATTGGTTAGTTGAAACTAATAAATGCTATAGTCGGTAAAATTTAATAAATTAAACAAGGCTAAAAGAATAATGTAGGAAAATTCAGAATGATCATCATACACTTCGTGTTAGGAGGCGTGAGCAGCGTTCCGAAAGACACGGTCAAGGACCTTTGGTAATTGTTTTGGCTGCTCGAATCTTTTGTAAAGACGAAGCTAGATATTTCACCTGTGCCTTTGAGAGCGCTGCACGCAATTTGTGATACGGAGCATAGATCATTCCAACATAGCTTTCTTTATCACAGAGTGTTCGACATTGCTGTGAACGAACACAGACGATGAAAACGCTACGCTATACGCGGACCCGAGAGTGTGCAGCGTGTACCCTTCTGAATACAAAAGTTCATCAACTTCGCATGCTCGTTTCTCACCAGCACTGAACCTAATCAATGCTTTCTCATGGGTGAAGGTTGGTCCACCTGCAAAAGTGCCGAACAAAACAAAACTGACATATTGTTAGGCATGTGTAAACTTGAAAATCTCCGCTTGAACCTTCCGTTCTACTGGTGAGCTGGAAGACATTCAAGGAGACTTGGGCTGAATGTTCGAAAGCTTGCATAGGAAGCAATACAGCTGCCCTGGTCTTCCTGAAACTCACGTGCATCTATCTGTGGGTTCAGGAATCTGAGCACTGACACTTTAATTGGGCCGCCATCGTGTCCAATTCCAGACCCCACGGACTGTTCTAAACTTCGTGCTCGCGAATGTGCATGGTGAAACAATCCCACGGCTCGTTGACGGCTAGGCGTGCTTCTTATCCAACCGGTTGATGTTAAAGGCGAGGTTTACCACCGCTGCACAAAGTGGCTGTTGCGGTGATGTGTTCCTTCTCAAGAAGACCTCTGTCCATAGTCCAAGTGGTCGTAGAGGTGCACACGCTGTCCCGGTGTATTTCGTTCGGTAGCGCGTGACCGTGGAGGTCTGAGAAATTTTACCGTCAGCAGTACGTGCATGTCTGCGTACTCCACGTCTTGTCTAGTCGATTTCACTGCCGGTGATTGCGTAAACAGAGTTTGTGTATTAGTGCGTGACTTTCGTAGGAATGTGGCCACCCTTTGAGACCCCCCAAGGCTGTCAGCAACAGTCACGTACTGTCATAAGTTCGCTGCATTAGGATGCATCGCCGTAGCCCGATACCTCAAAGACGGGCTAGCGTCCTTACTGCTTTCTCAAGATTGTCGTGGATGCGCTGGCTGTTGCAACGTAGTCCAGGTGGTCACGGGTGATCGTGGATGATGTCAAACAATTGCAAGTCGTGTCTGACCGTCACAGGTTGCCAGAGACCTTCATAGGTCGTAGTGTGGCGCTTCCGACAGTTTTCTGTCATTGTCAGGTAGGAAGCATCCAACACTGCTACAACTGTCGAAGTATTGTTGACGGTCGTGGTGAAATTCTCGTGAATTGCGCTCACTAGCACCGCGGCTCTTAACTGTCACAAACTGGCTTTCTAGGCTCAAGCGTCTTGATTTAGTGGTTGCAGATGTCCTTCAAGAGACTCTCCTTCTTTCGAAGGGTTCAAGGGCAACGTCGTCTCGTTGTCGCTCGCCATGTTGGCAGACGCTCGGGCGATGGCACCGTGTTTTGCTGAAATAAACGAAAAAGTGTTCAATTAACAAAAACTAGTGTCTTAAATACTAGTCCGAGATGATTTCGCTTCTGCAACTAAAGACTCGTGCATCAAAGACACGAAAGATGCGTACAATATAACGAAATTCGGTGGCTACGTTCGAATCAGGATAAGCTGAGCTCAGTCGATTGACCAGATCGGATGACGTAGCACGCCATGGTTGCATTCGAGTGCTACTCTTTTTTGATGGCATAAGCCTGACGGGAAAAAAACATTGTAAATGAACTATTGTATTGGGTTATTAGTATGAATTCACCAAGTTAGAAATCTTGTTACCAGATATTACAATGCAGCAAGAGAGGATAACCTCTATCTAAAAGAAAAGAATGGCTTAAAAAGATTTAAAAAAAAAAGTTTCTACTCAAGTACGAGTATAACTCTCATTCCTCTAAAACTTTCCAACACGAATCGCGTACCGTCCAGAGAAGTTACCCGTCCCGTATGGGTGCATGGACGCCGACATCCAGCTCCAAAAATATTTGTCAAGACAATTTACAATGAGGAAACCGAGAAAGACGACAATCGTGGAACGTTCCAGGAAAGAAGGGAGCGTATTTTATAATCAGAACGCACACAGGGACAGGTTGCCAACGTGTTTTACGAGTTACACGATTACGAGCCTACTCAAATTTGCCGTTCCGTCTGATGATGCGCTTATATGAGGAAAATATGTAAATTTGCTTGCTGTTCATTCACGTATTCACCAATGTTTGTTTGCAAACAAGCTCGCTGCCGCCCACTATCGGCGGACCCCTGCGCGCTTCCGGTTTTCCTCTTCTTTTCCTCTTGTCACACATCCTTTTGTTATTTGTACTACGTTCTACAAAGCGCGTAGGTTCTTACAAACCTATCACACGTACCTCTCCGAAGGAAAATCTTATTTTCCGATCGCTGTGTGTTACTGAACAAGAAATAAATACACTACCGGAAGTCTACTGGGGCACCAAGTACTGTGGCGCCCTCGTGGTACCAACTCCCACCGAATGCGGTGAATACTCCTTCTCCACGTTTCACCATAACCTGTTTCGCCGCAAGGATTCTTTCCGTCTACTGCATCTTGTTTTGAACAGACGGTATTTTTGGCAGTCGCGTAGAGGACATAAAATAACGATCGCACCGTGCTCACCATCTTTCTGTGAAATGTTGACTTTTCATGGAAGGCAGGTAAAACCGAAAGGAGACTGACACAATATGATGCAAACATGCCTTAACACGAAAGCAAGGGAAGTCCACTTACAGTGCATATGTGAGTGTGCTTCCTCGACACATTAAAGCTATTCTCTACAGACTTGAACAGTTAACCAACTTCCTCGAGTTTACAATGCAGTTAAAGGGATGCCCGCTGTTTTCTTCATAGTCCCCGATTTGTTTGAAAATTTGCTAAACACAAAAACCAACATCGTTGAAATAGTAACCCAAGTATTGGGCCAGAATATATTTTTCTCGCTAAGCTAAGTGTTTTTCAAAGTGAAAATAGCTACTGCCAAAAAAAAAAAAAAAGTGACATCAGGGGAAAGCAGGGGTTCACTCTTTGGACTCTAGACATTATTCCCAACTGATTACAAGCAGTTTCGAGGTATCAAATGAATGCTTTGAAAGCTCGCTTCAGCACCCGCGCAGCAGCACGAAACAAATGCTCGGCATAGGCCATTTTTAGACTGCACGCTCGATCTGCAAGCCTGCCTTCCCCTGGCCTTCCACTGAGAAGCGCTGGTATATTTGAATGTTGATTTCGGCATCAATTTCACTTGAAGATTTCCCAGTAACTATTTTAAATTTCGCGATACTAAATAGCATACCAATTCCGAAAATATAGTTAGTTGGGGAGCCCAAAAAAATCGCCGGACTACCCCTTTAAGAAGTAGACGCGGCAATAGACTCAGAGAAAAAATAAATGTTAAAACGGCTATTGCACTCACATTGACTATACTGTGCTGTGTAGGTTGATATTCGAAAATAAAACAATTGAACCGCCATATTTAGATATCATCGAACGAATATTGTGTTGCTTAGCTGCACATCCCGCAGTCTGAAACGGAAGAGTTAGCGACATCGACCACCCACCTCGCATAGCTTCCATCCTGGCGAGAGCACAGTCCACGGCAACGTGAAGTACCAGAAAGACAACGCAGTACGCGAGGTAGATTCTGCATGTGGTCCGACCACCGACGTAGTCGTAAAGATGACCAGCCACCAGGGTTCCAGACGCTATACCTGAGAAATAAAAGAGGTATAAACATGTTAGCAAAACATCTCAATGAATCCCGAATACGGCTAGCAAAATACTGGGCGAGGCTCTTTTTAAAAAGACAATATGGATTGCGTGTGTATATTAAGGAAAACTCCGACATGAACTTCCTTCGTTTCCTCTTCAATGTAAACATTCGCCGCTTGCTTCGGTTGAAGTTGTTAAAGAAACGTAAAAACGCGGACGAGCTGATGAATGACATCCATAGTAACCTTGAGACGTAGGAACAATAAAGACTTCGTTGTTCAATCCGTTTCTTTAATGTTCCTACGTCTCAGGGTTACTATGAAGTTCTGTAGATTGTTGTCTTTTTCTAAGTGCAAACATTTGCAGGGTCGTAAATGTCTACCATGTAAAAAGAATGCTTTCAGAAAGCACAAAACAAGTGGTAATCGTTTCTTTCAGCGCCGTACGTTTCAGTAATTTGAAGCTTACAAACGCCTATCAAGTAACAGTGACAGGCTGTCTGCCTGGGATGCTTCGCATTATCAAAAAGCACATCCAGAAATCGGTAGTATAAATAATGATATAGAAGCTAAAATTAAACCATACTAATTCCTGCCTTCATGCACTCTGCCATCCTTGTCTACTGGGCTGCAGAACACGTTCTAGGCACGCGCAGTAGCCCTCTTCCTCAAAATATCAGACGTCACGCATGCATCCACAGCTCAATGACTCCGCATTTACCGCCTGGGTGATAAGTGCTGAAAAGGTGTATGCCGGACTTCTTTCGATGGTTCTTACCGAGTCCTTCAAAAGTTCCGCCGAGGATCCCCTGCATCGTCGCCTCGGTCCCAGGCGGTGCCGCCGTGCTGGCGTACGACGTCAGTGCCGCGTAGAAGAGGCCGAAGCAGAGCCCGTGCGTCACCTCGACAGGCAACATGGCCCAAACGTCAGAGCCGTAGCTGTACACCGCAAACCGCAGCGCCAGGCCACCGATGGACAAGCTGACCGCGTTCCCGTAGCCAATCTTCCGGATGATCCAACCGGAAAAGAAGAGGACGGGAACCTCGCCCCCGAAGCATTGCACCGCCAGGTTAGCGCCCAGAAGCTGAGGAGTGGCGCCGAGTTCCTCCAGGTACCATAGACCGTAGGTCCAGATGAACCCCATGAGAAAGCCCATGTTGAAGACGGCGAAGGTGAAGAAGAGCGTTCTCACATTAACGAATACCTCACTGAGGTCCTTGAGGAGTTGCTTGGACATGGGTGACCGTGGAACTTCCAAGAAGACCAAGCCAAGGACATCCATGACGGCCAAGGCCGCGAGCATGTAGAACCCGGGACTGTAATCGGTGAAGGAGGACCCTCCGGTGGCCATTTGGTTCAAGTACCCTACAAGTGGTGCCAGTCCTCCCCAACCGATGGTGCCCCAGAGCCTCTGCTTGCCATAGTCCTCTTTACGGTCCCGCAGAATAGCGTACGTCGCGGCGTCTGTCAGTGAGATTCCGACGCCGAAAGCAATGCCGGCAACTACTCTGAAAACGACGTAGAGCCAAAAGGTCGAGGTTCGAATGGTGCTCGGTTGGTTCGGAGCGAGACAGCTGGCGTTACAGGTCCTGTTCTCGGCAGCGCAAAACATGTCGAGGCTATCCTTCTGGTCTTTAGTCTCAAGCGGTGCGCACCAGGTCTTGATACCGCACATGTTGCTGCTGCTGAATGGAATTTCGAGCTTCCCACCGGACGTTGAGTTCAGCGCGGTATGGGTGCAAGACAGCGTACAGTCGCTTGTATCGGCTCCAGAGCAGTCGTTCGGTAACTCCTCGGTGAAGCAGATGTGCATCGTGGTGTTTTGCGACCTGCATTCTGGACTTGTTGTTCTGACATTCAGCTTGGTTGGTGTGATGGGTGGCACCACGATGATCATAAAGTGGAAGAAACTCTCTATTGAGATGACGACAATGAGGATTATCTTCAGCCGTTGTGCCTTGTCTGTGAGGGAACCGACGAGGAAACGCATGACGACTGAAGCGAAGAGCAGAGCTGTGTTGAGCATTCCGACCAGAGACGCCGATATGCCCAGCTGCTTAGCGATCACGGTGGCGAACGGCATCACACCCACCGCGGCTGCATGGAACGACAGAGACAATTGTTATATTTTGCAACCCCTATAGCAGGCTAATAGTAAAGTGGATATAATTATTTTGTTGAATAACGCCATGATATCATAAAACATGCTACCTTAATTGCAGTTGCGGAGTGCAAATTTAAAGAAGGGTTTATCGAAAGTGGATAGAGAATACTACGAACCCTTCCATTCTCGAACAGTTATTTACATCGCAAATTCGACATTTGCTATTTCGTAGGTGGTTCATTCTGTAATATAGGTCGGGGCCGAGACGACGAAACTTAGGACTTTCGTTTAGACCCTATCATAACATTGTTGTTCGGAACTAAGCCCGCATGGACGATTCATTTACACATTAATCTTAACTGTTACTGTCCAGAGCCACGCTTGCTTTTGATACACACGTTACACAAAAGGGGCTGTTTCACATCTCCGAAAACATAGACGCAGCTCACCTCCGAAGTAGAGGAACATGTGTATCTTGAGGGGCAGGAGCTCCAGATTTGGAACGACGTATCTGGACAACCGGGACACATTTTCCTTGATCGTCATCTTGGCCTGGACGACACACCACCCCACTCAGAGTCTGAGCGGCCTTCTGCGGAGGAAAAGAAAATCCAGCAGCTAGGGTCATGTACCAGTACGCGAAGATATGTAACGTTAGCACCCTACCAGGGAATAAAAAAAGGCGTAATCGCCGAGTGCCAAGCGGAACCCACGCAAAACCCGGAAAATGCTCCAACAAGATGCTGCGGGTAGCGGTAAAGTAAATTCCTCAAATGCTTTCTGTCCCTTTCCCGCTCTCCGTCGCCTATTAAAAATTCTCGCTTTATAACGCGCCAATACTGATATCGGGTTTCTAATCGACTACGGAACTTCGCCAATGTTATTAGACTATATAGCTCAGTTACGAAACTGCTCATAGCCGCTGCTTGCACGAGCAGTACACCCCCCCTCCCCCCCCCCCCCCCCCTCCCAATCTCTCTCACTCACCTTGACGCGCCGGACGGCTGTTATGGTAACTCCAGTGTATTCTATGGAATTCATACGTTTCTAAGCACGGCGTCTATATGGCGTTAAAGGTCTGCTCTATATTTGGCTCTATAGAACACACAATTAGGAAACGAAAATCTAGATGGCGCTTCAAACGCCAGGAGGCAGATTGAAGTGAGTGACGAGGGGTACCGCCTTCCGCAGGAGTTCCACAAACTGAGGAAATCTAGTCACGTTGAGCTTGGCTAAGCCTTTTTGCCTTTAGTACGCTGCTGGACAAGATACCTCAATCCTCGAATTAAGTAGATGTTGCTGTGCAATGCTTTATTTCAAATGTTTATTTTGAGCCAAATTGTCCGCGATAAGCGCTAAAATATGTTGAGTTGATGCTTCCTTTCGAATTTATTTCAGTGAGGCTCTAACTTTCTGTGTATGTTTTCACTATTGTGCAAATTGTATCAATATGCTACTTATCTTGTGTAGCGTTAGTTCTCTTTTGTTAGGTTTCTGATATATGTAGTGCACTTGTCAGTTTTATTTTAAAGCGCAGCTCCTAGGCGCCCGTTTCCGGCTTGAGCGGCGTCAGTGTCGGCGTCGCCGTCGGCGTAACCGCGTGGTGCATTATGGGAAACGTTTCATATCGCACCGCGCGGTTACGCCGAAACGTCCCATAATGCAACGCGCGGGTCTCATTCATGACCCGCGCGTTGCATTTTGGGACGTTTCCCATAATGGCGTCACACGTGATGTCACAAGTGTCACGAGGGTCCCGCGCGTTTCATTATGGGAAGCGTCCCATAATGCAACGCGCGGGTCTCACTCGTGACCTGCGCGTTCCCCACGTACCCTCCCCTCCTCCCCCTCAACAGCTGCGCTCTAATTCGGCATTGCAGGAAGTTGTAAACGTCTTTCATTTTTTTTTTTTTTATATATATTCTTTTTGGTGCCCGCATCGGAACTGCTGGTTTAGGTGGCTCGTGGCTCGTCAAGCTGTTTGTGCAGCCTTTTTCCCTTGCCACCTTTTCAAGATTGTTTTTGTTGGAAAAAATAAGGGTACAATTAATGCCGTTGATGATGATGATGATAGTCATAATAACCATAATAATAACAGTGGGTTGGATTGTGTTGGTCATTTTCTTCGTAACGGGTGAAGAGAGTCTACGTTCTGCTCCAGCCAAAGATTCCATTTTAGCAGGGCGAACGCTGGACAGGAGTCGAGCTTACATATCCCAGAAAATACATTTTACATCTATCAATCACACTGCATGCTGGCGTCCAACCAGAAACCTTCCCGGCTCCTAAAAAGTGCCACCACTGCGCCTTTCACATAATCGACGAGGTATTTATATCCTGAAATTAGTCCACCGCGAATTCATTGAGCTCAGGGTGGAGAAAATAATCGAGATGATGTAAATCGAGATTTAAGCCACACCAATATTACAGTGATCATCTTCCACAAGAACAGTTAGTTCACAAAAATCATTCCTCGCAAAACTTATACCGTAAATACGTGTTTAATGTTGTTAGGTTGTAATTTGATGCCGTACATGTAAATTCATTTTGTTTTTAATTATAAAGCATCAGGCAAATACAAATGTATAGCACGCTGAACACAAGCAAAATGCAGTGCTCTTCTGCGCGAATAGGAGAGGTGAGCTTTGTATTTATCTTCTATCTTCCACTTCTTTCGTTATATATATATATATATATATATATATATATATATATATATATATATATATATATATATATACACTTTGTTTGGAACCGGTTTCAGAAGCAATGGCAACGTTAGCACCGAGTGCACGAAGCTGAGAAAACAATTTGGCAGGAACGAGCTGTTTCCTGGGCGTTTTCGATTTTCACAGCAGCTCGAAGATTTTCTTATTTTGGTTTGCTGAAGTATTACAGCAAATAAAGCTTTCTCAATAACCAAACAAATCAAGCTCTTTGTGTTCTAGTATGACGTGGTTTATATTAAGAAAAAAAGTTTTGAATTAACCTGCACTTTACGATATAATATTTATTTTCCACTGTTTCCGGTGTTTGGGAGAATTGAAGAATCCATATCCCCGGCTTTAGTTTTAGTTATTTTGCATTAATTTGATAAAAAAAAAAATTCCTGCGCCTTGTTTTGGTTTTGAAGTCACCTATACTGCCTACCGGCAACCACATATGCGAAGAAATGTTATTTCCACGTCCGAATGACTCTGGTCAAAAAAGAAAACACACCACATAAACCGCCATACTCAAACGTCGATTGTCCAGTGATTTTAAGTTTCATTGTAGTTTTCCTTAGGTTCATATTTGTCACTCGTTTGTATTCGTTCGAATCTTTCTTCATGAAGTAGAGACTGCATGCCTCACTGGTCCGGAAATATCACCGACAAGTGCGATGGGGACGAAACGTCTTTGGAGGAGAATTCCTCCAAAGAAATTGGCAAGCATACCCGCGAGTGTGGGATGGAATTTCAGTTCGTCCCATGGGCGCTAACATATGTAGGCGTAACTGCCCGTTTCGTAACACCCCTGCCCGTTTCGATCTGGATGAGCATCGTACCGGCGTGCGGTCGTGTATCACTATACTGCGTGGTGCACGTTAACTTACCACAGGCTGGCGGTTGTACCGCACGGGCTAAATTGCTCATATACAGCGAGTGACTGGTCGCAACTTTGAAATGGCTGACCAACTACACGCTGTATAAAAACAAACGCAGAGCGTAAGGGAGCAGCGTAGAATATGTCAGCCGTGCCGACACAGTGGCAGACATGGTCGGGAGTCCAAGTTTTTTCGCGTGGAATGGCACGGGATCATCGTAGTCGCTGTCCCACAAAACATTGGCGAGTAGAAACACCGTGAAACTTTGTCCCCAGCGCAACCGCACCGCTCCGACTTCGATGCGTACCAATGTTCGCGGAGTGGTTTCGTTTCGCTGGGGTTCCCACTGCCTACCTTCGGTAGCGGTCGCGCAGCGGCGCGCCGGTCGCGTCGCACGGAGTGTATATCCAGGTTCACTCTAAATTTGACCGTAGAAATACCTAGGGGTGTCGCGAACTTTTGTTGAACCCCAGTTTTAGGGCCGCACTTTCGAGGTTCGACAGGTTCGAACCAGTTTGACAAACCTTCGACCTTTTAACCAGATTCGACCGGTTCGACATGGGTTCGACTAGAGTACTATATATAGCTCCTTCGGAGCAGAGTACCGCAATCTACAACGCCGTCTCTCGGCGACTAGCGGCGAACACCAGGAGGTTCCAACTCCGGTCAGAAATGCATGGGGAACGTGAGAAAATCGTTGTTTCTTCAATGTTGTGGAGATGTATGGAACGACAATAGTTTTTGACATAATAAAGGAACATTTTAGAATAATTTGCGCCGAGTTGTGTGCCAAGTGAAGACGTAATTTTTGTAAAAATATTGCGTGAGCGGCATCATGCAGCAGACGACGCGTCAACGTCATGGCGACGTCACAGCGTTCACGTGACCCGCTCCGGCCAACCCAGAAAGTCCATCTCCGCTGCGCACACAAATCGTCTGCTTCAAAGGCCATTCATTGCCTTGAAAATTGCATTCTCAAAATTTTCACACGCATCCAATATTATGGAAACTTTGATAAAGTGTTTAGTGCTTTACCAACTTCATGACAGACTAGTTTCGAAAAGTGTCAACTCGGCGTTTATTTTTGAATCAGCCGTGTTGAGTCGCTCTCCATGTATTCTCCCATAGGGCGGGCCGCCTCCTGGAACCCTGAGTACCACGTGACTCGCGCCGAGCTGCTCTGTCGGCCACGTTGTCGGCGAAACACGCGGATCTGATCTCTATGTCTTTTGTCATAGAGATCAGTGCCTCTGTAGATCAAAGGATTGCGCTACTCTGCAGTGTGGCCAGACCTTGATACAAGCATGTCTAGGTTTGGAGAATTGTTTTTATGCAAAGGGTTATTTTCATGTTATGAACAGTTGCAATTAAAAGAAACTAATACTAATCACTGAAGAAGTTAATAACTTAATTTTTTGTACTGTATTAACTGAAATAACCAATCAGTGCTGCCCTTAATTCATCCCTTAGCCATCACCATTCAATCCGAAGCCCACTGGCCAGCCTGTCGCGCATGTATGGTGCCTGGATCGCGTCTTCGACTGGTGTGTTTAGCGTCCTATCCCGCCCATACATCAAAAGTGGTCCCAATGGGGCAACAAATGACGCGAGTGTCATGCTGTTGCCTGTCGCGATCCTGGCGGTTGGCCGTAGAAATGCTGGCGAAAAGCACGATCGAACGCGAGTGTCGCTTTCGTCGCGGCGTCCCTTCAGGCGTCCCAACTTCCGGCTGCCCTAGCTTCCGTGAACTGTCACAGTGGGAAGCGACCTGCAGCAGAACAGGCGTCTGCTGTTGGGGCGCCGCCAGGGTCGCAACAGGCGACAACATGACACTTCTATGACGTCATCAGGCGGAAATCGAGGGACCACTTTTTTGGCCGCGGTAAACACACCAGTCGGAGACGCGTTCCAGGCACCATAGCGCATGCGCATAGCGGTCGAACCTGAGTCGAACTTTTCACAAGGTCGAAAACGTCGAAAAAGTCGACCCTCGTCGAACTCGAACC